ATCCTGATTTCTCTATTTTTTCTTTTGGTTTAAGAAACACTAAAATGGCTTAAAGCCAAAGTTTCAGTTGTCTAACATTACAGCTTCTGTGTCTCTGATGAGTACCTTTTATTATCAGAGGGGGTTTGAAATGTTTTCCTCCTGTTTTATTATGTTATAAACATCTGTGAGTATGGAGTAGACTTGCAAAGCTCAAATCATAGAGTAAATATCGTGTTGGAATTAAGCTTTGTTGGAGGAGATCTGCTATGCTTAGAAGCAGGCCTTTTTTTATTACATTATTATATAAACCACGTGGTATCTGTTATTCAATAAAATTCATTAAAGTCCTTAGCTTAATTGTAGTGCTGTTGTTTCAATCAACTGTTTTCCTAATTCACTTTCAGTTCAGAGCAAAATGCTGTAGCTCATGAATACGTATGTGTTGATTTCTCTGAGCTTTATGTGCTGTGTAACGGGTAGCAGATTTACTTGTGGAATACAAGAGCTTTTCATTTTAGTGAGGACAACAGAAGAGCATCCGGTCACCTTTCTGTCCCATACCAATTTGTCATCAACCATCTATGTAAGATGGGCCTGATCCTTTGACCACATCTAGGGTGACAATCAAACTACCAAGTAAGATTAACAAAAAGTTGCATTACATACCTAGGACATTTCTGCATGCCTAATTTGCAGCCAAACTGTCTGGTTTTGCTTCCCCTCATCCCAAGCCCATCTAAGTGAACTAGCCAGTTTTGACTGAATGTCTCCTAAATCCAAAAGTTCATACGTGTTGATCCACACATGCACACAGCTCTGTGTCCTGTGTGGCCTGCTTTTGAATTGTTTGTAAAAGTGATAATAATTCTATAGGAATAACTTTCAGAGCTTTCATTCTAGAAGTATCTAAAGGGTGAGACAGAAACATCCTGTTCTTTAGCCAGTACTGAAATGTGAATTGCATTAGTAATTTGGCAGTAGCAACTCTATGATCTGTAATTGGATAACTAAAGTCACATGAAAGTACAATCAAATGTTCAATGTCTGCAGGAAGCAGGAAGAAGTACTTTAGTTTGAAATGCTAGTAGAGGTTCAAAAGGGTAACAGGAATGATTAGTTACCCTTGAATGGTCTAAAAGTATGAGCTCTTTTCAAGGAGTTTTAAAGAAAAATAATGAGGAAAGTAAAAAATCCTAAAGGAATTAATGTACCCCAACAACAGTACAATGCCGGAGTGGCAGAATGCTACTGTTGTACCTGTGTAGGAAAGATACAGCATATATAGATGGGGAAAAATAGATAAGTAAATGTACAGTACTCATGAACAGAAATGAGCAAAGGGAGAATTAGTGATCGACTTACAGCTGCTCACCACTGCACTTTAAAATCCATTATAGTAATTAATTTGGGCTTTTGCAGTGAGAAAGCAGTAGTTTTCATAGCAATAGCTCTATAGTTTGCTCAGCTACCAGAAGAGAAAACCATTCACAGGCATTTCACTGAAATGTATGTCATCTATATAATCAGTTGCCAATTAAATAATCATTTTATTAATACTTATTTGGTAATGTGCTTTTCCAATCACATATTTTTATGCTTGATCCTATAAATGGGTGGCAATTATGGTATTTTATAAGTTGATGATAGAAGATGTTTCTACCAAGAATAGTTAGACTGCAGTGATCAGATCCTCAGGCCCTGCGTTAAGACATTTACATTGTTCATTTTGGCAGGAGGTACAGTGGATGCAAACTGCTGATATGAACCAGCCCTGAAAGCAGAGCAGAGAGTTCATGCCAATTCCACCCCCCAACCATCCAGCATCTTCCTAGTAGATACCTTTTTTTTTATCCCCAGTCTCTTCTCAAGCAAGATTTCTTGGTGACAGCTCTGCTAACCAGGAAGACAGCTGTCAGGGGCACAGCAAATATAGATTGGAATGATTATAACTTTATAGAAATGCTCAGAAAGTGCTGAGCAGCCGCTGTCAGAAAAGTTAGTGCCTTGCAGATGTCTCGGAGCAAGAATCTTCAAATTGCATCCAAAATCCCCAAATACTTGTCAAAACTATGGCCACAGATACTCAGAGAATAAATTCCACATCAGAATTGAAAATGTCAACATGAAAATGTCAGGTGTGTAAGAAAAGTTCTCATATGATGTATATATACACACGTATGTATTTGATAATGATACACAGGTGCTTTATTCTTAAGTCATTAATTATTCTAAAGTTAAAGAGTCTGTATAACACGTTTATTCAAACTGAGAAGGAGACATTCTTACTCCATTGCATTACATACTCTTCATCCTTTCCTCTGGCATCAGGATTGTCTAGAGTTATAATTTTTCTGGCAGATTGGAGCAGTTCTGATAGGGTTTATTTTTAGAATGGGTAGTGTTTCCATAAACTAAATGGGTTTATAATACCATATTTAAATGAGGTCTGTGTTACTAAAATTTAACATACTTGTCCAGCTGGGGGCAGAAGGGGGATGAAGTAGAGAACTTGTACCAATACAGAGTGGCAATGTGATGCCTCAGATACTGTGCATGAAACTCAGGTTTCCCGAAGTGTTGTCTGTAAAGGGCTGGCTATGCAGATAAGTCCCAGTTGATCCCATCATAGTTTTCCTACTCCAGATCAGTTCCAAATCCATTCCACTGAGCAGCTGATGTACCTCAGCATCTTGTGTATATCTTCACTTGAGGCGTTCTCTTCCCTCTGCTATATAATAGGAAATTAATGTCAAAATTTATTTACCATGACAGCCAAAAATAGAATTTAATTATTCTCATCCATTTTCAGTCTCAGCTAGATTATTTTCTGAGATTCAATTAAAATCCTCTGGAAAAGAATGAATGTGATCCAGTTTTGTTGCAAACAATATTTATTCTGCCAAGTACTGATAACAAGCAATGCACATTATGCTCCATGCAATTCATTTTTATTTCTTTTTCCTTAGTTTCTAAGGGGTTTGCAATCACACTGATCAGTCCCTGATATCTTGAGAGCCAAAAGGCTAACTTCAGCCACAGACAGACACAAATAAGCGTCACAGGCAAGATGGTTCTGGAGGTTGGGTGAAAACCTGTAAAAAGCTGGGCAAACTTGATGTGCGTTGGTGACCTCAGAGAGAGAAAAAAGCATCACATGAATTCATTCATTATGTTGCTTGACCTGGTCTGCTAAGGCATGCTGTGCATACAAGCTACAGATGCACCACCAAGCCAGGCCTGACGGGTACTTCCTTCTTCCCAGATGATAATGAGGGAATGTGGGAGGGCTGCTAAAAGTATTAGGGAATGAATGAGGTCATGATAAAAAAAGAGAGGAACTGGGATTATGACAGTGGAAGCACAGTTGTTTAGGATGCAAATCCATGGGAAATCAGGTTTCACCAGTTCCACTGATCAATGAAAGAAAATATTTATGTTTTCCTGTCAATACCTTTTGGAGAAAGACATATCACAGCCATTAAAACAAACGTCTCTAAAAGGACTGTGGGTGACAGCCTCCACTGAGAAAAAAAACCACCCAACTTAATTTCCTATCACAGTGGGCCAGATTCTCAGCTTGTGTGAACTGCCAGGATTAAGCTGAAATGAATTGAGTTGTGCTGTCTTGGTGCCAATGGCCTGTTTTAGGATGTTAAAAATACTTACAAGCAAATACAGATAAACAAAAAAATTAGGCAGAAATACGATTAGGGAAAATGGATCTAAAAATACAGTATGAAAAGCTGTTATGCTGTAATAGGTAATGGTAGGATGATAAAATATTAACTATTTTCAGATCTACTGTCAAAACTAAGTAGGAGATTCATCCCTTTTCACTTCAAAACATTTCTTAGTGTTCTTTACCCTGTTATAAGAAGTAGTATCGTCAGGAAGACCTAGGCTGGGATAAAAGCCTGAAGCATGGATACAAGGGAAAATGGTGATTGTGAGGAGGACTCAGTGGCATGGTGAAACACCGTGGGAATGCTTCAGAATGGAGGACGTGCAGTTGTGTCTCTCTCAGGCCTCTCTAAAAGCAAATGAGATTACAAATAACAGGTTCCTGGCCAGTCACTATCAGGAATTCAAGGGTACACAATTGTGTCTGCAAAAGAAGTGTGTGTAGGAGCGTGTGAGAGAGAGTGTGATTATTGTGCTGACTTGATCTGTTCCCAGACCACTGGGGCAGAACTGATGACTTTTTGTTCCAGAACACTGGGACAATGCTTGCATGTTCTTGAGGAGGTGAGATTTCCGAGTACGTGAATATCCTGTTTGGCTGCATAGTCAAGATCCTTGTCTGTAGCTATAAAAAGGACAAGAAAAAAAGGAATAAATGACTTAGATCACATACTGAGTCCGTGTCTTCCAGTCCACCGCAAAACACAGACTGACTTTAAGAGATCAGAGCCTGGAAAACTCTTGGTTGAAATGCACAAGGTCATTTTGCTGGCTTTCTCTGGGATAATTATCTTCATAGTATCTAGAATGGAGCTGTATTTTGGATTTGTACTGGAAACAGTGTTGATAACACGGGGATGTTTTCCTAACTGCTACCCACTGCTTACACAGATTCAAGGCCTTTTCTGCTCCTCACCCCACAGCACCAGCAAGCAGGCTAGGGATGCGCAAGGAGTTCGGAGGGGACACAGTCAGGACAGCTGACCCAACTGACCCAAGGGATATATTCCAGACCATATGGCATCATGATCAGCATATAAACTGGGGGAAGAAGAAGGGAGAGGGGGACATCTGGGGTGGTTTGGCTTCCCAAGTAGCCATTAGACATGGCAGAGCCCTGTTCCCTGGACGTGGCTGCTGAGGGGAAGTGCTGAGTGTATTCCTTGTTTTGCTTTGCTTTGCTTGTGTGTGCAGGTTTTGCTTTACCTATTAAATTGTCTTTATCTCAACCCAGGAGTTATCTCCCTTTTACTCTTCAGTTCTCTCCCTCATCTTCTTGCGAGGGGAGTAAAAGTCTAGGGCTTAGTTCCTGTCTAGTGTTAAACCACCGTAGTCATCAATGCTCACTACAGCATCTCCTCTCCTGTACTGAGAACAGCCTCTGAGGCACAGGAATCCCACCACCCCCCTGCTGTTAGCTGATCTTTGTGATAAGTACTGCCTAACTGGAATTGCTGTGGTTAGAGGTAGCTAACAAATGACTGCTCTATGTGTGTCCCAGTAGAGCATTTTTATCTCTTCAGATTTTGCTTTTGAATCTTAATACCGTTGTGGACTTTTGCCTTAGTGCTTGCTGAGACTTAGCTGAGTTCCTCCCAAAATACGTTAATTTGCTTTACACAGCAACTTTTGAGATGAGTAGGTACTCATTTGAACTGAGACACAGAGAGCTTAAGGTTTGGGATGTCAAGTTTTCAATACAGAAAACTTGTTGGGGTTTTTTGTTTGTTTTTTTTTTTTTTTTTTGGAGTATTTGTCTAGAATGGCAATTGCTACTGCTGTATGAAACTGCCCCTTGCAGAAGCAAGTCACTGCCGGTACCTATGCGCTCACTTCCAGTATGTCCATGGTTTCCCACTCCAGTCTTTCTCCTAGGTGTAAAGTACACCTTTTCTTAATCCCTCTGAATGTGGTATGTGTGGAGTAGAGTGGATGTTGTTGCTTCTTTCCTAGAAAAATCCCTTCCCTTCCCTTTTTCATGCATTTAGTTGTGCCAATATGCCAAGTTCATAAATAGAAAACTGTCATAAAGGTGTTCCTTTATCTAGTCTGTGTTGAATACAGCAGCCTGGGAAGAGGTCATGCCCTGATATGACATCTGTGACTATCAAATTTGGAACTAGCTTCAGATTTGCTCTCAGGTATGCAGGCTGGTCCTGTGTGTTCTCAACCTGGTTCTGTACGCCCTATGTCCTTCATTAAGGATTCACATGAGGTGTCATATTGAAGACAAAATTCCTTGGGGGTAAAACTGCTCAAAAAGGTGTCAGCCAGTAAGACCAGCATTTCCAAAGCTAGGTTACTGCTGTCAGTAAAGTACCATGGTGCTGGCTATAATTCATGTTATTTTCCTTTAGGTCCTGGAATGAGTTAAGTTTGCCTGAAGTGATCTAGAACTTGCACAGCCAAGTGCCATGTCCTGCCATGTCCATTTCAATCCCCTGAACCTTATCTCTGCTCTCTGGGAACAGGTGGGATTCTCAACTTCATCTGACTTTTCCAAGCTAATTGGGATGCCCATTGAGAGAGTGAAGGAGTGAGCGTGTGTTGAAATAGTACATGATTTGACTAAAAAAAAACAAAACACACCAAAAATGTAAAGAGAACGTGGTGTTAAAATGCTGCTTTTCATGATTGCTGAATTCCACAACCACTTTAAGAAATGCTATTCAGAAAATCATTGATTTCTGGTGTCATCTTACCTTGAAGGAGGTCACTGAAGTAAGCAAGAATGTATACAAGTGAATGAACAAAATTTACCTCAGAGTCATTCATCAGCTCTGACTGCTGCATAGAAAATATCTGTAGCTTGACCATATTCTCTACTTGGTACAGTTTTGACAGAAGAGCAGTTAGGTCATTTGTACTGTGTCTAGCACATCTGAGCAAACTCTTTAAAGTTGTAAATAGAAAAAATAGCTCTTTCTAACCAATCCTCTTTCTACTATATTGGTAATTAATGAGATTAAACAAGTATCTCTAAATAGTTTATGTATTCCAATGGCTTATTTTCTGCTGGCTTTATGAATGTCCTTCTAAAGAAAGCATGAAAGAGATATTGACTTTATTTTTCTGAAATAGCCTGCAGAAAAAAATTACTTTCATTTTTGGGAATAACTGTAAGTTGTTGGTTTTGAGAATAAAAAGAATACTCTGCAATACTTGAACTGGTTTCCACTTTAAAGTTTCTGAAGCAAGAGAGCTTGCATGAATTTTTAATCTCCTAAATTTAAATCCTTAGAGTATTGAAGAAAACAAAGCAAACAAACAAAAAGTTCTAGTTGAGCTAAAATAATAATGCAGCTCCCTTCTCCCAGCAAAAACTCATTGATAAAAGGAATTGCAGTGCTGATCCTCAAACTTCGTTTCCAACTCCTGCAACAAAACAGCAGCTGGGGTTCTTTAATCCTCAGTATAGTAGTATTGGAGATGCTCTTCCCATAATCTATAATTGTAAATAGGAACAAATCATGATCCAGTTAAAAGGTATTCCCTTTTTTTTTTAGCAGAATGATGATTTCATTCACAAGTTCTTGCAGTGCAAACATGAACAACACTAGGCACAGGCCTTAGGTGTGCTAATTTCTGGTTCTCGCTGAATTTTCCAAGAGGAAATCGTGCATTTTCTTCATGGCCTTTCATTCATGAACCACAAAAAAGATACAATAATACTACACCAGTATTGGTGGGACTCATCCATAAGTTGCGAGTACCATATTTAATGCCTTTTATCCAACATAGCTGGACAGATTTTACAAATACAGACTCTGCAGGAATCTTTTCCCAACTACTTGCCTTCCAGTCATTTCTAGGGTGCCTCGCACATGGTTATATGGTTATATATATATTGTAAATGGATTAGTGAGTAAAAGGTAGTTGCATGCTCTTGAAGTATCAGAATCTTTTGTTGCCTCGTTTAGAAGTTAGTATGGTGGTTTTGCATGGAGAACAGAGAAAGGTGAACAACTCATTGCTTCATTTACAGAGCGGCGTATACGTGGAGAGGAAAGCAAATAGGTGCAGCAACTGGAAGCAGCCTTCCTTGTTTGCCACATGAATGGATTTTCAAGGCAGGATTTAATTTTATTTTTTTTATTTAAGTATAGACTTTAATTTATATATAACGTTTTTAATCTTCAGAAGAACAGAGCCAAGTAATTGAAAACAGCTACTTTTATCTGAAAGGACTCCTAGAAGTAGTATATGGTGTTGTAACTATTGCAATATCATGTACTGTTCTTACTTTTAATTTATGGAAAGATAACTGGGTTACTGTAATAGCAGTCATCTATTTCCTCCCACTAAAATGGTTTTATTGTTCAGATAATTTGATAGAATTAGCTGACAAAAATGCGGTCTAACTGAGAAATCTTTTACTGTCTGATGTGTTTTTACAACAGGCGTGTCACCTACTTACATTCCCATCCCACTTTGCTGAGGGAGAAAACCAAACTGCTCAGAAGACTCCAGTAAGAAATGAAAATCTCAGGTGAATGCTTACAGTTTAGTTGATGTGATAGTCAGTTTTCTATGTGGTGATGAGCCTGGTGAGGAAAGAAATCAAGACCAGTAACTGATGTCACCCAGGCTGCTGTGTTGTGACTTCAGATTCAGAATGATGAAGAGCTGAAATGGTGGCCTGTTACACAGCTTTTCCCCTAATTTAAGAAGTACCCTTAAGGTTCAGGCTGATGCAGCATAGTGAAGGATGTGCTAAGAGAGCTTGTATTGTAGAATTTTATGTTTATAAAATAAATTATTATAGACCTATGTTACGTCTGGTGAAGTGAATGGTTCATTTGAATACAGATGCTAAGCGGCACACGATTCCTCATTTGTAACACACTAACTGACAGTTCAATGTTACATGAAGTGTTCCAGCACTGTGGAACATTCCCTTATTCTTATGACTTCATTCTCTGGAGAGAACTCAATAAGCTGTGTCAGAGGAACATAAAGGGTGAAAGGAATGGTAGTACCATTCTTTTATCACCCAGTACTATGAACCCTGCAAAAGCCTCTCTTTATCTCCATCAGCAGGTTTCAGGCTATTGTCTGCAAGGGACACCTTGCAAGGGAGTCTGCAAGGCCAGTCTCCATGGCACTTCTTCCACCCTTCAGGGGCTGCCATTTGATGGAAGTAAGGGAAGTGCAGGGAGGGACAGGCAGGAGATTGTCCACAAGCTTTAAGGTACACTCAGAACTAGGTGACAAAAAACAAGAAGGATCCACTGGTCTTCTAATATTTGTATTTCACAGAATTAATCCTGTGTGTTTTACCTACAAGGAAGAAACCTGAGATTTCAGAAATGATTAAGGGGTCATACTAGCTCTCTTCCTCCTCTCCTTAATTTTGCCTGCTGACCCAATTTTGTGCTTCCTTTAACAAGACAGTATCTCCCTAGAATAACAATATGGTTCAGCTCATACACAACATCCCTTGCCATTGCTAAGATTCAGAATATAATTGAGTTATATATATAGCTATTAATTTCAGGATCCCTAGGGTTATGCTGAGACACTGATGCCTTCCTCCTACATTATTTTACAATGTATCTTACAGAGATTGTGGGAACATTTTATACATTTCCAAGTTCTGATTAATGAATCTATCTGCAGGAAATAAAGCTCATATCAGAGTATTTTGTTGCAATTTTACCTTTCCTGTTAAACTTGTTGGCTGTTTGAAAAGTATAGTTTGTATAAACTACTCTTGCCATGAATTCTCCATAAGCAGGGTCTCAAGACTCTAACTCTGTCCTTGCCCTGCAGTGTGCTTAGGGGCCAAACACTTCATATGTTCTCCTGTTCACATATTTGAAATGTGATCAATAGTTGTTGCATCCTCTATAAAGAACATTCACTTCTACCAATGCAAAGCACTTGTACTGGAACAAGATGTTCTGATAACATTGTGAACTGCCCATCCTTCCACCTGCTAACTTGGCCTGTTATGGCACACATAGTATCAGTAATCCAAGCTCTAAAATGTGCTCATCTGTTCTGCTTCTCTTCCTGCTTCTTCCACACCATAAGGCTGGCTTTGCTATCACAAGATTTAAGCAATAATAACAAGAATTAGATCCTTCTGATGTTTGAGACTTATGGTTATGCTCGTGTCTTTTATTCAGGGCAATCAGAGATTTAAGTTCTTATGTGAAGCTCTGTTTCTAAAATCCTGCAGTCAAGGCTTTGGCACACACACAGAATTCCATAAGTTGTCTAAAATCACAGCAGTTGGTGCATAGCCTGCTTTTTATCACAGTGTAATTTTACATTACCCGATTTCTAGTGTCACATTCACATAAAATTGGAGTTCTTGTAGCTCCAAGTTGAACTCTGATATTCTGAACTACTGTGTTCCTTTTGCAAACTGAATTCAGTTCCCCTCAAGAGGACGAGGGAGTGAGAGGGCGGCTGGGTGAGCATCTGTCAGCCAGCCATGGTCAGCAGCCACACAACTGAAGGAATTCTGCTGCTTAGAATTTGGTCCTGAACATTGATCTTGGTGCCTAGAAGAATTAGGTGTTAATTGTGGCAGCTCAAACAGGCCTAATATAGCAAAACACCCCACTTTTCTGCAAAAGGCATGTATTCTTAAACTAAGCGAAGTACAAACTGCAGAAAGCATACTTTGTAGCACAAAATTACCCCATGCAATGCATGCTGCTTCACTTTGCCCCCAGTGTAATACTTTAAGAAAAGTACCTTTTGAAATAGAATACTAATGAAATCATAATCGCATCTATAGATGTCCTGAGTATACACTAATTTTAAAGTAGGCACAGAGAAAAATGTTACATGTGTGCTATTTGGAGACTAATCTGACCTGATAAATAATTCATATGAAACCAATGAAGCTATATGTTTAGTCAGTTTCTTTCTGTAGATGATCTGCAGTCCATTCCATTTATCCTCATACGCTGTTGGCAAGTTTAACTTGTTTCTCAGTATATGATTAAGAAGTGGGGTGAAAGAAGCATCTTGTTCCCTATTTTCCTTTTGCAATTGCCATGCATTGTAAGTTCTCCTGCCAGGACAGTCAGTGGAAGCTCAGGTTTTTTAAACTCTTGGGCTTTGGCCTAAACATTGAACAATCTCAGTGATTTAGAGTATATTTGCATTTGTGCAGGGAAAAGGGGAGAAATTCATATGGTGCTAGACTGTGCGTCCATGCCCAGGCACTGGCCATGGGGCTGCAAGGCAGCCAAATCTTCGAGCCCAGTTCAGCCAGTTTTCATTCCACCTGACTGACCATTATCTAGTCAATATTTTGTCAGTTTGTCAATGAAGAAATTTTTTAATAACAGCTTCCAGTTTTCATGTGTAATACAGTGAGTTAAATCCCTAAAAAAAAAAGCCTGCTCCCTGTAAGTCTTTGTAGTAGAACAGCTACCTATAATGACTCACTGAGCTGAGATGCTTATGAAATATAATCTCAATAACAGAGGTTCAATTTTTGCATCAGTGACAGTAAAAACATCTGCTACCAGAGCTGTAGAATACTTCAATTTAAAACAAGGGTTCAGAGGTCACCTTGAATTTATAGCCACAACTGATTTGAAGTACAAGTGAAAATCAGCTGATGCACACTTTACACTGCACAAATCTCTCAGTGACAGTCGATACAAATTCTGCCAGCAGCAGTAGGGCAGACAGTACTGTAATGCTTTTGTAAAAAGGTCAATGGTTTGATTGTAACAACCATATTGTAGATGAATAGCACTTGCTTCCCACCCGTCTTTCCCAACCATCACTGAGCGGCAGATGAAACTTAACGCTAAAATGAACATACAGCACCACCTCTTGATGGGATTGCCTTCTGCAATGTGATCCTTGCAGATTTCCTCTCCTCCTCACCCCCTTGATAAATGTAATTAGAATTTGGAACAAGTTACGCAGTATTTTGCTATTATGAATCAGTAAAAGTACATTTTTTTTTGCCATCCCTGAAGGCTGCAGGACCAGTCTTCCTGCACAAGTGCCATTTACAACCCTCAGGTTAGACCTATCCATTCTGTTCAAAATGCCTGCTGAAGACCCCTGCATGTTGACATCCCAGGAGTACTCCAGCTATGCCAGGACATCTGCTGTTATTTACCCCTGGGCAAAAACTCAGCCCCACACAGAGGCTTGCTCTTTCCCCACCAGTGGGATGGGGGAGAGAATCAGAAAAGCGAGAAGACTCATGAATTGAGGTAAAGACTGTTTAATAGGTAAAGCAAAAGCTGCACACACAAGAAGAACAAAACAAAGAATTCGTTCTCTTAAGTTTGATCTGCTTCCATCAACAAAGTATTATGAGTGACAGCCTTGTATGAAATAGTATTTTTTATCTAATTCTTAAATTTCACTATTTTGATTAAATGGATCCTTGTTTTGGGGTGGACTTTTCCTCAACAGACATTAAAGGAGTAAAAAGTTCTCTCAGTAAATAGGAGCCTTTGTTAGAGAACCCTTAAAGTCTGTTATCATCTAAAAAGTAAAAAAGTCAACATGGATTGATGGTAATTCAGGCACCTTCAAATTTAAATAGCTAAAAAAGCCTAGAAAATTTCAGAGGTCTGTAGAGGCTGTGTGAGAATCTCTTATAACTTGTCTATTTTTTATGTATAGTTTTCTGCAAAGCTTAACAGGTATCATCACAGTCAGACTGGCATAAACAAGTATTTTCAGGCAATTTACTGCTCTTACAAGCTTTCAAAAGAGTTGCCCACCTTGGACAAAGTAAAAGAAAACAGAAAAAAGGTGAGGCAGTATCTATAAGCAGTCCAAAATATACAGATTGAGAAGAAAAATGGATTATGTATGCCTCATTTCATCCACAAAGAATCATAGAATCATAGGATAGTTAGGGTTGGAAAGGACTTTAAGATCATCTAGTTCCAACTCCCCTGCCATGGGCAGGGACACCACGCTCTAAAGAAACAGGAGCTCAGAACTTTGAGGACTTAAACTAATCAACCTGCTGGCTGACTAGATCCTTGTAATAACATCTATTTTTCCAAGTCCTAGTGGTAACAGATTCTTTGAAAGTACTGAATTCTATGCTGACTTGCATTTAAGGAACAGAATAAAAAAGTATTTTCTGTCACTCCAAGCCTGCCATGGGGAAAACAGAAATGCATGGTTTTAGTTAACATGAAATCTGTGGTATAGTCATAAGTTGATTCTGTTACCAGAACATCTGACACTGCAGGAGTTCACAACTCTGTGTGTGTTATCCATCACATTAGAGTCCTGTGCAGATAACATCATAAAGCGCCACAGGCTGATTTATGTTTTCAAGGTAAACAGTGGTTTAGAGTGTATGTACCAAACTTATGGTCATTGTCTCAGAAAAATAAATCACTTTTTGTCATTTTCATTTTGTAGGCTATTAAAAAAAGTGACGGGTAATTAGAATGAAAAAATGTTGCTTTGTTATTCATTGACTTGAGCTGCATAACAATGCACCGTCAAAAGGATCTGGAAGAGTCGGTTAAATTAGTAACACCAAACTTGATAGTTTCTAAAGAGTACATATAAATAATGAATCTGAAAGAGGAATATAAAAAATTAAAAGTAACTTGAATCTTGTGAACATGTGCAGTCCTTATGCAATCAAAACTCCCACAGAAACAAGAAGAAAGATGAGAAGACTCCAGGGCTTAGGAGATGAGATCAGCTGAAGGAAGAATGAGTTTTATTAAAAATTATCTAACCTGAAAAACTTGTTTCTTGAATCAAAGCAGCAGTCTAATCCTTCCTAATAGACACCATTATTTTCTAATTCTGCTTTTTCCTCCCTTCGAAACAAATACAAGAACAGTGATATACAAAGGAAGATGATGCCGTAAGAGCATGTTATTAAAAAGGATCCATGCCCATGATTATCTATAATACTGGGGGGAAGGGAGAGTGCATAAAGCAAAGAGGTAAGATGACATTAAGAACTGTTTAGTGACTTTTCTGCTGCTGTCCAGCTCCAGGAATAGAGAAATCCACAGTTTATGTACTTGAGAAACAACACAGACCCCTACTACTCACATGCTTCTAGCTACTCTTTCTGTTCTAGTACATGCTTCTACACTTAAATTGCAGCCATCTTCTCCAGAACAGCTCCAGCAGATCCAGCAGAAAAGTCAGTTGAAGGAAATAGAAAACTTAAAGTGCTTAAGATAAACCTAGTTAGCAGAGAGCGCAGACTACAAGAACTGTGATGCTCCACAGCTTGTGGCTGTGCTTAAAACAGGTATCTGTCAACAGGTACTACATGAACTTCTGACAGCTGTGAAGTCTTCAGCTGCTCTTGAATCCCCTGCCACTGCCATGCTCTTCCTTGGTCTCAGAGAAAACTAAATAGTTTTTTTTTCTATTTATTTGTGAACTTTGAAAATTCTTGGTGGCCCCTTTTCCTGAAAGGCCCATGCCATGAAAGACCCTGTCAGCTCTGAGCTGTCCTTCTTCTCCTGTAAGTGTGGAAAATGCCATCCTCTGGAGAAACCAGGTCCAAGTCAGTCACTAGAAAGCACTGAAATGAATGAATGAAACACCCCCTCTCATGCATACATAGGACTATATTATTAGAAAGCATAGTTACAAATTCTAGTATACATGATCATTGCCTTCACATTAAAACATCCTGATCATACCTAATTGTTGCAGACCTATGCATTCCCCTTCACTGACAGTTTGCTGAGACAAGCAGGAAGATGGCAGTAACTGACCTGTAGCAAATTCATGCTCATATGTCCTCACAGGAGAAACAATTCTTACTCACTCTCATAGCCACATATTAATTAGGCTTCTGTGCCCCTCGTTTTTCTCTTTTCAGCTTGCTTTCCATCTATTTGACATGGGAATAGGTGGGCATATGCACACTGACTCTTCAGAAATCCTCCAGGTCTAATTTACTGAAGGCAGGAGCAATTGGATGCACAGAAGAACATGAGTAAATTTCAGTTTAAATGAAAATCACCAGCATTTTGAAAGAGGAATACTGAAATTACTTCCTTTTATTGTTTTAGGTGATAACATAGAAATCTCCATGGCCTTAAATATCAGTGGAAGAGCTACCTAGTTACTGTTTCATAAAACATGCTGTTCTTCATTAGTGCTTGAGCTTTTAGAAAACCTGTAAAGATCTTTCTGCATTTGAAAGTGCAAAATGCATTGTATAGAGTGTCATCAGTCTTAGCAAAATGAAGCTTTCAGAGAGCCATAATGGCAGAGAACATAGTGGTATTTAAATTACTGAGCCATAAAGGATGGAACTATCAACAAGTGAATACATACCCCATGAAGAAAACTCCCAGAGCAAAGTACAGTTATTTCATACCATTAAGGGATTCAACTTCTTTTCTGATTTTTTGAAACAGATGGTATGACAAATTGGCAATGCTCTACAGCATGAGTGTAATCTAACTCATTCAAAGCCAAGCTGAAAATAACAAAATGAAACTCAGCATGGAAAAAGACTCAAGCTAACACATGTGTGGGGAAAAGAAATTGAAAACAAAGAGATGCAAACAGAAGAGGAAACCTGGAAAGCAACTGTTCTAAAGGAGGCCAAGAAAAAGGTAGCACACAGATGGTGTCCACTCAACAGGAAGAGGGGTTTTTGGCCATGCAGGCTTGAATTATTCAAGCAGGAATATGCTTGGGATGTTGGGACTTGCATTTCCACACTTATCTGAGTGATTTCATGGCTTTTAATGATGAGAAGTCAGTAGACCTTGAGTTTCTATTGTCTTTTCTAAAATTTGCCATGCCTTCCTGACCTGCTTCATGTCAGATGCACCATATTTTATGGTTCAGATAACTGATAAATCTTGTTCTGAGAGTTGCAGCCCACCCAGGGACGATCTGAGTCAGCTTCGCAGTGCCACCTTCTAAAGCACCAGCACTGAGTGCTGTGTATTTGTCACGAGGAAATAAATATTCACCAGGTCGACCTCTGTGGAGCGAGGTCAGAGTGTCAGAACCACCCTTCCCTGACCAAAGAGTCTGGGGAGGATCTGTGCCTTTCCTGGTTTCTTTTTTGTATTTATGGCAATACTTAAGCACTTATCATACATGGCAATTCTGCAGAATCATGGAATCATAAAACAGTTAGTGTTGGAAAGGACCTTAAGACCATGTA